GACGGAGGGAGGGCGGAGGGGGGAGGGAGTTCCGGGGGCGAGGGGAGGTGGGGGCTGGAGGCGGGGCCGCGGGGCAATAATGAGGTCGGGTCGGTTCGTGGGTGAGGGAATAACAGAACGGGTGGTTCGGCTCCCCCTCCGGGATTTTCCTCCGGCCACACGCACGCTCGCCGCTCTTGCGCGCACGAGCCGGATTTCATCGTGCTTATCGTGTTATTAGGGTGACACGTGGATACCTTGGATTTTTCTTTTGCAACTGCAAAACAAAATTCTTTAGGTTTTTTAATAATGTACTACTAGAAGTGTACTACCTCCGTCCTGGTTTATTGATTTTCTTCGTATTTTGTGTCAAAGTTTAACCATAGATTTAACTATCAAAATGTCAATGCATGCCGTGAAAAATTACATAGATTCATATTTGAACATGGTTTTCGATGATATTATTTTGCTACATATAAATTATATCTTATTAGTTTAAACTATAGTTAAAATATGACGCTAAATACAAAAGGACTAATAAATCAGGACGGAGATAGTAGATTATTATTCTTTCAGTGTGAGACGGTTGTGGTGACTTTCGTAAATCTTAAAGCCCCACATTTTTTATTTTGTTTTTGGTAGTAGGTGTTATGTGAATGTGTGTGTGCGCGCACGCGCGTCTACGTTGTAATCGATGTTTTTAAACAAAGCTCGTATGGGCGTGAAACAAGATCTACTAAAACGTAAGGAGTTTGATAACTGGCGAACTTTTGATTTTTAAGAAATCCTAGCGGATGCCTTCGGAACCGTCAGATCCCGATAGAACGCATGGCAATCACTCTGCACAATGTGGCTATTTTTCTGCCTTTTTTGTACTACATGGCAAATTTCGCTTTGGAGCATGACGACAAATCTCTTACAAACAACATGGCAATTTTCTGTTTTGGTATGGCAGTTTTGGACGTTCGTGAGAAAATCTAAAAAATCTGACGTTAGATATTAGGGTACCCTAGATATTAACATTTCTCAAATGTAATATCTGAATTTATACATGTACATCACATCGGCTCAACACTTGTGTGTTGCTACAATGAACAAATTCTTCTACCATTCATGTCATGTCGAATCATATCAACTAGTGATCTCAAATTTGGTTGTCTAAAACCACTCGCTACTCGATAGCGATGACACCTGATAACTCATCATCTCACCCACTTTGCAACAGATTTTACTACTGGTGTAAAAAGAGAAGGTGATACACGACTGCCTCCACCGACTAGAAGTTATAAGAGTAGAGATAGTACTAATGAAATCAACAGCATTAGAGATACACATGTGCTTACGAGTAGCTTTATTGACATAGAAGTGAGCTTCCAAAATTAATATGGATGGCATACCCTTAATGGAAGACTTTGTGGCATTTGTATACCAATAGGACATTACTTGTCAAGTCAAAATGACCGATAAAACGATATTGATGGTTTTATCGGCAAGACTTTTCTTCTAGACAACTAGGGAGAACAATTTATATTTGGTTAGGTCAGTTTTGTGCTCGCATAGTTACCGAGTATACCTGTAATTGACACGTAAAAGTTATCGCGTGAGTCATGACAACGACATGTATGATAGTAGTGAATAAGTGGGAGTAGGAATATGTAGTCATGAAAAGGAAGATAGGGTTACGATTTGGAATGAGAAGAATTTAGAAGGTGACGCAGAAACGTCGAATACGAAGAATAAACCAAACGACGACAACGATGCTACGGTTTTATGGAGCCTATGGGCTCAACTTATACAGAAGCATATGCGCACCTAGAAGCTCGTGGAACTAGAATGTCAGATTTTAGTGGGATTTACTAAAATGCAAGGACTTTGATAACTAGTGAACGTCGGATTTAAAAAAATCCTAGCGAAGGCCTTTTGGATCGTCAGGTCCCGATCAAACGCATGGAAATTATCTGCGCGGAGTGGCAATTTTCTGCCATTTTTTTTTTTGCACTTGGCATACTTACCTTTAGAGCATGGCAAATCTCTTACAAAAACCCTGACAATTTTATGAGGTTTTTTAGCATGCGCCCTCTATCTCTTCTTTTCACATGGAAGGTAAGAAGGTAAGAGTTAATTAGACAGCTACTTAATTAAATCAACGGCTTAGATCTATCATGTGCTTCTATCTCTCATGTGAAAAATGGAGGTAGGAGGGACCATGCTAAAATTTGCCCAATTTTATATGCTTTTGGCAATTCTGGCGGTTCGCTGGAAAAAGTTAAAATTCTAATGCCAGCTTTTTAACATTTCCCAAATGTAATAGCTGAATTTGCACATATAGATCGCACCGGCTCAACACTTTTGTGTTGCTACAAAGAACAAATTCCTCTACGGGTCATGTCATGTCGACTCATCTCAACTAGTGATCTCAAATTGGTTGTCTAAAACCACTCACTACTTGCAACGATGACACTTTTTATACTTGATAAACTCACCATCCCACCCACTTTGTAACATATTGTACTACTAGTATAAAAAGCGTAAGTGATACACGACTGCATCCATCGACCAGAAGTTATAAGAGTAAAGATAGTCCTAACGAATCGTTATCACTAGAGATGCACATGTGCTTACCTTATTGACATAGAAGTGAGCTTCCACAATTAACATGCATTGGTATACCAATAGGACTATTGCTTGCCAAGTCAAAATGACCGATAAGAAATGATATGGATGGTTTTATCGGCGGGGCTTTTCTTCTAGCACAACTACGGAGAACAATCTACATTTAGTTAGATCGGTTGTATGCTCGCATAGTTACCATGCATGTAATCGACACGTAGGAGTTATCGTGAGTGATGACAACGACACGTATTTATAATAGCAGTGAATAAGTGGCCGGGGCTAGGAATATCTAGCCATGAAAAGGAAGATCGGGTATCGATTTGGAACGAGAAGAATTTAGAAGGTGACGCGGAAACGTCAAATGCAAAGAAGAAGCCAAGTGACGACAGTGATGCCATGGTTTTATGAAGTCTATGAAGTCAACTTATAGGAAGCATATGCGCACCTAGAAGCTCGTGGAATTGGAATGTGTTTTTCTCGATGGTCCTTCACATGTAGTAGTAGATATACCTGTGAGCAAAGCAAAGAGCTATATCATCCGTGCGGATAAAGGGCGGCGGCACGCCGGGGAGCATCGCAGCTGTTGAGCAGATTCTCCCACGCGATCTGCGCCGTGGATTCCACGCTGGCTTTGGATCGAGAACCCATGGAGGAGGAGACGAGATGAGCACGGCGGCGTCGCTCTTGGCCCCCGTCGACCGGTTGGATTGGGATGCATGATGACATGTGGACATGTCTTGGCGGGAGCTTCACGTCACGTGAACCACGTGGTGGGTTTTAGTGCCCTGTAAAATAGTCGCTTTTGTATGCTGGCAAGATTGCTTATACTGGCAGGGATAAGTGATAACGCATCGTGGCCTTTCCGTTGAACTTTTTTCAGTTGTGTGCTGTTTACATTTATAGCCTACTTTGCTTGTGGGAGTGAGAGTGGCGACAGATCTGGGAAGAGGGGTACAGCGCATCGGAGATCTGATCTAGAGACTAGCCGGAGAAGTGGTAGAAGCGGTTTGTCGTTTTTCTCTGTTTAGGCTGGGATTAGGAGAGTGCGATCAGATTAGATTAGATTGGACTGATCGACAGCAAAGCAGGGATCTGATTCATGGCCGGGAGCAAGTGGACCGACCCCAACGCCCAACATCCGGTGTCGATCGCGCTGGCATCCGCATCGAATGAAAGATGCCAAATCCGATGGTATCTTTCTCGGAGAGTTTTCACCGTACGTACATTTGTTGCGGCTAGGAGAGAGGAGGACGAGTCGATGGATTCCAAAAATGCTTTCGCGGGCCTGGAGAAAATTAAAGGAGGCGAGCAGAGCAAAAGTTCATGACGGCACCCTGGCATTTCGTCTAGTTGGTACTACCATGGATTCCAGCAATGCGTTGTCGTTCGATCATCTCGCTTCCTAACCGATCCCTAGCGGCCGACCGATCTGGCGTTTCGCCGGTCGCTCGTGCGCCGTCGGATGGAGGCGAGATCGAGGGACATGCGCGCGTGCGTTTATTCCCACCCACGCAACGCAACCATGTGTCTCATGGGGTCTGCACCCTCAAACGGCCGCGCATACGGATGGACGTGTCTGCGGGCACTGACTAGTCAGTCCTCCAATCATGTCGTCTATATCCGTTTATCTCATATCTAATACCTTATGTCCATGGTAAACCATGCAACGTGAATAAAACTACGTTGATCATGAATTGAACATTGAAATGCACATTCCAACACCAAGAGATCACCAACGGATCTCCAAAAGAACACTAAAGTTCACATAATGCACATAAACGACATATAAGTTTAAACTACATTACTAAAAGCTTGTAATTAAAGGTGAAGACTGCGGATCTTCACCACTTCCTCGCCAGCCCCTTTACCCTTTCGGTCGACGGTATAGCGTAGGTGTCCGCGACTGGTGGTGGACCGTTCAAGTCGTC